TGAATTCGAAATGGGTTTTAGTGGTATTGAAAGATAGTAAGAAATGTTTTAAGGTTGTGTGAGAGAGAAATAAACATGTTTTATTATGTTATTTAATTTACCTGGTATCTTGCTTTGAAAGATAATATGATTTTAAGATTCTGAAAGAGAATGAGAAAAGTGTATCGCCACGTAACGAAGATTCTGAAGGAGATTAGTAAGTTAGATTTTTTAATTATTTATGCATTGTTGGAAATGTAAGGTGGAAGGAATTTGGTATTTGGGAAATTGTATAGCAATGATTGTTTAAAGTATTAGGATTGTAAGGTAATTTTTATTAATTGAATGTATGTGCTCATGTATATTTAGTGTGTTTTTTGAATTTAATTATATTTTAATGAATGATAGTTATTTGTGAATTTTATACTTGAGGAATTTGGTGTATGTTTAAGTTGAAATAAACGCATGGAAATAATTTAAATATTTGATAATAATATTTGTAATGCTTCATGTATGAATTCGTTGGTGACGTGTATAATGTATAGATGATTTAGAGGTAAAAGTTTTTTGGATATTTATTATTTTATATGTGGAAATGTTCATATTTGTAAGGGTAAATACTTTTCGCGATCATGTAATTTCATATATGTTCTTTTTACCGGTTTAAGATTGAGAAATTGTCACGTATTTTCGTGAAATTTTTCGAATTTATGAGAAAAAGCAGTGTAATGATATAGTGAAGAGTGTCGCAATGCCATTTTGTGCAATTCTGGGATGTTTTTTAAGTAAAAATAAGTGACGTGTACATGGTTCAGTGATATTTTAATGAAATGATAGTTATTTTGTGAATTTTTCTTGTAGGAATTTGGTTTACTTTAAGTTGAATAAACGTGCATGGAAATAATTTAAATATTTGGATACTAAATATTTGTAATGCTTCATGTATGAATTCGTTGTGACGTGTATAATGTATAGATGATTTATAAAAAAAGTTTTGGATATTTTATTTTTATATATGTGGAAATGTTCATATTTGTAAAGGGTAAATACTTTTTCGCGATCAGGTAATTTCTTATATGTTCTTTTACCGGTTTAAAGATGAGAAAATTGTCAGTATTTCGTGAAATTTTCGAATTTATGAGAAAAAAGAGTGTACATGGATATATGAAGAGTGTGCGCAATGCATTTTGGCAATTCTGGATGTTTTTTTAAGTAAAATAAGTCGGCGTGTACATGGTTTATGTGTATGTGTTATAATAGAAGAATGTAGATAAGAAGAAAAGAAACATGTCTTTACTTCGTGAAGACAAAATGGCGGCGGGGAAAAAAATAGAGGGTTGCTGTAGGGGAGTTGGTCGCCAAATTTTCGCCAAAAAATCGCCAAGTTACCGTTATGTAAAGATCAACCAAGAAGAGATTTTAATTTTCATTTCATTAAACTCATCGTTTGGAATTCCAACATATCCAAGAAAATTATACTTAATACTATTGATACGCAAATTCTTAGAATCAGAAAAGTTTGCAACGAAACAGATTACCTTTAACCTTTAAGAGACGGGGCAGTTTGGGAAGGTTTCACTTAAAAAGACGGGAAATCCAAATGCATTTCCATTTCCTTTTTAGGTGCCATTGTAAAGGGAAACTACTACTCTTTTGCAACTTTTCCTGTAGGTCGCCTTTGGGGGTCACCTTTGTTAATTTTCAGATAAGAGACTAGGGAATAAAATATAAAAGAAGCTGTTCTCTTTTCTGCTGTTTCTTTTCACTAAACTAGGGAAGATTTTGTAGCTAAATAATTGTCTTGTGTTGGAAAATTAACTTTTGACATTGCATCATAATGAAAATACGCCTTAGCAGCAAATACACGCCTATAATCAGTTCTATGTCTATTCAGTTTTTATTTGTATCCAAACCGAATGTAGTTTAGAATTACATGTACTAATTAACATTTTTAATTTATACTCGAAAATGATGTTTATTTATTTGTTTCTTGTATAAATCGGCAGTTCGCTTTTATTTGTTTCCCAGCATTGGGTAACAGCTTATGTTTATATATCAAACAAATCCCGTAGTAATTTTCTTATATTAGTTTTGTTTACTTTTTTTATTAGTATTCTTATTCAGTTTAATTTATTGATTCCCCCCCCCACTGTATTGTAAGTTATTTCATCTTTCAACTACATTGTTGTTCATTCTTGTAGTTTTGTGATAACCGCTTTTGGTTGATCTTTACAATATGGTAACTGGTAGTTTGGCGACATTTTGGAGGCGATAAAGGTTACTACCTGGGACTTTGGTAATAATGTGAGCATACTCAGTTCCGATTACGCATTATTTGTGTGAGGGGAAATGAGATCATGGGATATGTCATGTGATATTAATGGACGAATTACGGTTCTTGAATCGGAAAAGGGGGGAAATCGGGAAAAAATCTGGAAATTTTGTATTTGGTTTATTCTGTGTTGTGTGAAACAGTGTTTCGTGAATTTTTGGATCCCATGGCCGTAACTAAAGAAAGTTTATCGGACACGTAATCAAGATTCTGAAGAAGATTAGGTAAGTTAGTATTTTTAATTATTTGAGGATATTATTTTTATGCATTGTTCTAAATGTAAGGAAGTGGAAAGGAATTTTGTATTATTGGGAAAATTGTTATTAGCAATGATTTAGTTTAAAGTAATTAGGATTGTAAGGTAATTTTTATTAATTTAATGTATGTGCTCATTTATATTTTAAGTAGTGTTTTTGAATTTAATTATATTTTAATGAAATGATAGTTTATTTGTGAATTTTATGTTTGTAGGAATTTGGTATACGTTTTAAGTTGAAATAAACGTGCATGGAAATAATTTAAATATTTGATATTAAGTATTTGTAATGCTTGCGGTATGAATTCATTGGTGACGTGTATAATGTAATAGATGATTTAGAGGTAAAAGTTTTTGGATATTTTATTTATTTATACGTGGAAATGTTCATATTTGTAATGGGTAAATACTTTTTCGCGATCAGGTAATTTCATATATGTTCTTTTTACCGGGTTTAAAGATTGAGAAAATTGTCATGTATTTTTGTGAAATTTTTCTAATTTATGAGAAAAAAGCAGTGTACAATGATATATAGTGAAGAGTGTGCGCAATGCCATTTTTGTGCAATTGTGGGATGTTTTTTTTAAGTAAAAATAAGTCGACGTGTACATGGTTTAGTGATATTTTAATTAAATGGTAGTTATTTTGTGAATTTTATGTTTGTAGGAATTTGGTATACGTTTAAGTTGAAATAAACGTGCATGGAAATAATTTAAATATTTGATATTAAGTATTTGTAATGCTTGCGGTATGAATTCGTTGGTGACGTGTATAATGTAATAGATGATTTAGAGGTAAAAGTTTTTGGATATTTTATTTATTTTATACGTGGAAATGTTCATATTTGTAAAGGGTAAATACTTTTTCGCGATCAGGTAATTTCATATATGTTCTTTTTACCGGGTTTAAAGATTGAGAAAATTGTCATGTATTTTCGTGAAATTTTTCTAATTTATGAGAAAAAAGCAGTGTACATGGATATAGTGAAGAGTGTGCGCAATGCCATTTTTGTGTAATTCTGTGATGATTTTTTTTTTTAAGTAAAAATAAGTTGCCGTGTACATGGTTTAAGTGTATGTGTTATTTTGAAAAACGCGTAAGGAGTATGGTATTGTGCACTTTTTCCCAATTTTGCAGTGAATATTTGTCATGATTAAGCAGTTTTGTTTGACAAAATTTCTAGCATAAGTGTAATTCGGCTACTAGATTGTTGGAAGAAGTGTTCAGTAGATAAAAAGAAAAGAAACATGTCTTTACTTCGTGAAGAGAAAATGGCGGCGGGGAAAAAAAAATAGAGGGTTGCTGTAGGAGAGTTGGTCGCCAAATGTTCGCCAAAAAAACGCCAAGTTACCATAATGTAAAGATCAACCGAAAAGTGTTGTAAGAAAAGGGGATCTACATATAATATGTAGACATCTATATAAATCTCTTGCAGATGCTTAACTGCATAATTAAATGACCTATCAAGCTTTCAAGAACTTAGCAACATTATTTTGATTAATCCATACATCAATGAAATGATTTATCTTAATCTCAAAGCTTCAAGCTGATATGCAATCTAATTTTGCATAACAATCAAACCCTAATATGCTATGTAAGTGAAAATAAAATTTAAATTACTAATGTTAAGAAAACAGGAGAAAGTGTGAAAGACTGAATAAAAAGTACAAAATATCTTTATAAGGACACACTGAATACTTACCTCAACACATGGTGGATATACAAATAAAAGCTAAACTGAAATTATGTCCCGTATTTATCCGTCAAAACAGTGAATTTGCAAACATACAGGAAAAATAAAAGCACTTCCAGTTTACGAAATATGAAAGTAAAAGTCAATTTGAGTCAGCAAAAGTAATAATGAAATAAATACACTGAAATATTTCTCAACAACACTTGAATGAATCGTAAAACTTACATTCAAACTATAGCAGATACAGCATTACAATTTATTATCTGGCACATTTTGAAGGAAAGTTTCTATTCATAAAAATAGCAAATCAATCGAAGGTTAGCCAAAATGACTAGTCAAAAATTTTCTTCAATTACACATTTCTAAAACTTAGTATTATGACTTATACAAAAAAGAAAAAAAAAAAAAAAAAAAAAAGAAAAAGAAAAGAAAACCACACACAACAGCAGCTCTTGTTACCAAATTGATATATCGAAATTAGACTTTAAGGTAGATCAGTAGATGTATGTATATAGATAGACAGATAGATGTATCAGAAAGCATATATATGCACACATCAAATCTTTAATATGGAAGCTTAGTATTCAATGCAAGACAAAAATTTCACTTTAGAATTTAAGCATAAACTACAATTAAGAAAAACAACTTATATTCATAGTCAACAAACCGAAACAGTTTTACTTTTCTATCGCCTGTGCAATGTTTTGAAATTACAGAAAATGCTCATTGAAAGCACTTACAGCAGCTGGTTCGTATTCAACACCTGAAAATATGACACTAGCTCATTTATACCAGGCTTCAATTTTCAGTATTGTCATATGTCTGGACAAATTGACTGTGATTAACTTGATGCAACTGTTCCCATTACTCTTCGACTCAGATTAAAATTTATAAATTATGCGTTTATTTCTATTCCATCGTTAGCTTTCGCAACCCTTCGATTACACGTATAGTTTCACTTCGCTTTTCCGCTTCTATAGAGGGAGCCAGCTGTTGTAAACACAACAGGTTTTCTTCTTAACGTGACTAAAATATTCAAGCAAGAATATTTGCGAAATCACTTCCTGGGTAACATTTTTTAAGAATTTGCAGACGAAGAGGAAAGAAAATGTGGGTACGCGTGTTATGAACAACAACGTCCGTATGTGCTGTGTTTACCATGGAGTGTATAGCAGATGTACCCCTAAAATTAATTGATTTTTCGAATTTAAAAATTTACAACAAGTCCAAAAAATTAAAAAGTAGCCTTGGAGGTGTTGATGTCAACAAGAAGTATCTTCTTTTTGTCAAGGAAAAAATGTGAACAATATTTGTTTTCCATGATTGCCTCTTTACTTTATTAGAAATATTAAGTGCATATTAATTAGTTGAAAAATACTCCCGAGGCCTTGAATAACGTTTTTTACACTTTTAAATATAAGCGTAGCAATACGTAACTGTATATTTATGGATCTTGAATATTTGTTCTAAATAACTGAAACAGTCGAAATCATGAAAAATCTGCTTATCAGCATAAAAATTAATTGAAAGCCAGTTTTCTTTATGAATAATAATTTCATTGCTATAGAACATTTTACGCCAATAAACTTTCATTGCTACAGAATATTTCAATTTCATTGCTACAGAATGTTATGCCAATAATTTTATCATGGTGTTGTGAACTCTTTATTATTATTATTATTTGTCCACTAGCCCAAAAGAGGGCGCTACCAGCTTTCTTCCTCTTCTCCACAAGGGCAAAAGTCGGACTGGTTAGTCCCAAGGAGGTTAGAATAGAATAAGGCTCCTATATACCAGGCTGAATCATCAGGCATTCGCTATCCCAAGTGGGAGATTAAATGGCGGCTGTGTAGTTACGGTGCAACAATTTTTTGTGTTTTTTTTTGTGTAAAATGGGCGGATGTGCAGCTATTAATTGTTCAAATCATTCACGGAAAGGTCATACATTGGTAAAATTTCCTAAAAATGAAGAAAGAAGAAAAATATGGGTAAATAATTGCCGAAGAGACAATTGGAAACCTGGTCCAAGCGCTGAAATTTGCTTAGTAAGTATAATGTTAATTACGCCTTGATTTAGAGTTTATATCTTCTCTGATGTTTATAATGTGTAAGTAAAGTGAAATTCTTGTGTACAATAACCTAAGTATCTGCTAATTTCTGTAATAATAGCTATAATTAAATTAGTCTAGGGTTAATGTACCCGTCGCCAAACATCGCCAATGTGGAAAAGAAATCTCTTCTAATATAAAGCGCAAATTTTGTTTTCCTGTGCTAATTGTGGAAATTATACTAATGTAACATGAAAATCATTAGCATATTGAAATTTATTAAAAAACAAATCATAATTTGGAAAGTCAAGATAAAATCTGAATGTTTGCTAAAGATACGAGCGCCATCCAGGAAGTAGATTACGTTTCCGTCTGTGTCCGCTAGGGGCGGGGCTAGCGCGGCCATCTTGGGGTCAGAGCGTTGCGCAGCTCAGTCTGCATCTAGCCGTGCTAGTGAGAGGTTCGTGCTGTGCTCCGTTCAGATACTGTGACGGTTTGAAATGTCTGCGTTAATTGAAAATCCCGCGAGGTGGCGCTCAGTAATAAGGTTTCTGACTGCAAAAAACTGTAAACCGATAGAAATCTATCGGCAGCTTCGTGAAGTGTATGGGGACAACATTATCACTGAAGGTGGAGTGCGTCAGTGGGTCATAAGATTTCAAAATGGCCGAACCAATGTTCACGACGAAGATCGAAGTGGGAGACCCAGCATAGTGACCGCCGAACTTCTCGAAAAGTCGATGCTAAAGTCCGTGAAAATCGAAATTTCACAATAACGGAACTTTCTTTGAGTTTTCCACAAATTTCGCGAAGTTTGTTGCACGAAATCATCATCAGCGAAAAGCTTGGTTACCACAAGTTTTGTGCAAGATGGATTCCAAAAATCTTGACAGAGGACCACAAAAATCAGCGAATGGCTGCAGCGTTGAACTTTTTGGACGCTTACCATAAGGATGGTGACTCTTTACTCGATCGCATCGTTACTGGTGACGAAACATGGGTGAAACATGTGAACTGTGAAACGAAATTGCAATCAATGCAGTGGGGGCACACAAGTTCTCCCCAAAAACCCAAGAAATGCATGCAAACAATGTCGGCAAGGAAGATGATGGCGACTGTTTTTTGGGACAGAAAAGGTGTAATTTTGGTGGACTTCCTGGAAAGAGGCACTACAATAAACTCTCAAAGGTATTGCCAAACTCTCCAAAAACTCAGAAGAGCAATTCAAAACAAGCGCAGAGGAATGTTGAGCTCTAAGATCTTGTTGATTCACGACAACGCCCGGCCCCACACGGCAAATGTCACTCGTAAAGTTCTTGAATCTTTTAAGTGGGAGTTGTTTCCTCATCCTCCGCCGTACAGTCCCGACCTGGCACCGAGCGACTTCCACCTATTCCCAGCAATGAAGTGGCTGGCTATGCAGCGTTTTGATGACGACGCACAGCTGCAAGAAGAGGTAACGAAGTGGTTGAAGGCGCAGGCGGCCGAATTTTTCGACGAAGGAATTTCCAAGCTCGTACATCGCTACGACAAATGCCTTAATTTGTATGGTGACTATGTAGAAAAGTAGTATTTGAGTGTGGCTTTCATCTGTATATAATAAAATTTGTTTCCTATACTTTGTTTATTTTTTTATTCCAAAACGTAATCTACTTTCTGGATAGCCCTCGTATATGTAACATTATACTATAGTTGCAATATCGTTGGAATGATATATAATTTTTTTCTTTATTTTATAATCACTATTGTTAAAAAGTTAGATGAGTTTTTTATGCACGGTGCCCACTAATGTTTCTTGGTTAAAATAACTTCCAGAATTTTGACATTGACATCTGAAGTCAATAGAATAAATTGAATAGTATGAGACAAAATATAATAATCTGACTTCAATAATTGCAAGTACCATATATTTATAATCACAGTATTATACAATTTGGCAATGGAGTAAAGATTTAGAAATGAATGCAGAACATTCAAATAAGCACAGAAAACTTGTGAAACTGCATGTGTATTTTTCAAAAATAATTGTAGTGTTTTTTAATATGCATGTGTAGTGTTTAATGCATGCATAACAATCAAATAAATCTGCCTATAATGATGAATTTCAAAGGCCAAGCCAAAATCCTTTCATGAATTTGATACTTCTAAAGAATGTGATCTCGTCAAATTAAATCCTCATGACATTGATAAACAGTTATTACTGATATGTGTTACAAAGCAGATTTTTATACATGATAAATATTTTCTGAAGTGTTATTTTGTGTTGTCATCTCTAAATAAGAAATTGCCTACAAATTCAGAAAGCTACTGAACTACGTTCTAGAGTTTTTAATAACTTTAATTGGATATGTCTGTGGGGATGTAATTTAAAAAATTGTCGTTTAAACTGGCCTTGATGCTTTTTAAAATGCATGTTGGCACTGTGCTCCCGAAATTAGGCCTTATGTTTTGAATGATTAGAGAATTAAAAATTAAATATTTCAATTAGAGCTAATAAACATTACTACAATTATAACAAGAATCATAGTCTGCTCTAATTATAAATGTTATTTATTTCGGCCTAGTATCTTAAAAGTTGGGTGAAGTGAACTCATATTTTCTAATCTATTGTAAGAGCACTATAGCAAGAAATATAAAGTTTTATATACTATAGCAAGAAATATTAATTCATGTTATAGCAGAAACACTACTTAATTTAATTTTTGGATAATGTTCTAAAGAACACTTTAAATTATAGGCAAAAAATAAATATTGGATAATTAAACTTCTGCCCAAGCTTACAAGATGCTGCTGCTGATATGTTAGACATGGTTTGTTTATTGTTTCAGTTTTTTATAATACTGGGCCTAATTTTAATTACCTGCATATTTATTTATTGCCTATACTTACTTACAGTTCATGCTTGCTGCCTTTGGCACAACCTCACTGTGTGAAACTTTTCTCACATTTCTTTCGTGTGTTTGTTTTTTGTACTTTTATTTATTTTGTATACTTTTTTTAATTACTTTATGTATTTACAGGATCATTTTGAGGGAATCTCAATTTGAGTCACTATGCAAAGATAGTTAAAAAACTAAGAAAAACTGCAGTACCGTCAACACTCGTTAGCATTCCAAATCCACCACCATCTGTAACTGACAAGAGGATAAGAGAAGTAAGATGTCCTAAGCCAAATACTGAAGTGGTAAATTATTTAATATTCTCCAAAAAAATTGTTGAAAAAATCATTGTTATTACAAATATATTAATTCAAGTCAACCATTGTTTAAAAAAAATAATCACAGCATAACATGTTTACTATTTCTTTTGAATTTAGGAAACTCTACCTGCTTCAAATGAAGAGTTGTTAAAAAAAAATAGAATTCCTTGAGCAACAGCTTCAAGAAAAAGATGCAAAATTGACATCATTTTTGTCCGATGAGCAAGTAGGAACCCTTGCTGTGCAGTCAAAAAGGAACTGGTCAGAAAGTCCATTATAAAGGACTGAGATGCGATTTGCTTTGGGCAAACATGGATATAATTACCTCAGAAGTACTGGATATCCAGCACCATCATACAGTACCTTGAATAGGAGGATTAGTGATATAAAAATAAATTTTGGCATTTTAGAAAATTTGTTTTTTTCTTCCTCAAGGCAAAAGTTCAGCCATTGGATGCTCATGATAGGAACTGTAGCCTTTTGGTTGACTAAATGAAGATAGCTCCATATCAAGATTTTGATACATCATCAAAGTTATTTATTGCAAATGTAACTTTAGGAAAACGTGCAGTCGCTAAGCATTACACTGTTGTAATGCATAGAGGCCTTAAAACATCATGGAAACAAATTGTTGCCAATGAGTTGACAGGGCCTTCGACATCAGGATCTGATATGAAAGATCTAATTCATAGAACTGTTGTAGTAGCTACAGAAATAGGTTTAACTGTAT